TCGGCATGATCTCTGGTTTGCATTTCTTTATTGCTATTTACATTACTGCAAACCTTCTTACATGCTTTAGTTCCTTATTACCTTTGCTGCGTAACTTTAAGAATACGCTTTCATGTTAAGCTTTTCAAGTTCCGTTCTTATCGTACAAAAAATTTGTCGAAACCAATGTTTTAATCCGCTGCACTAATTCAGCCCCCCCCCCCCTCTCTTAGTGCCGCTCCGATCCTAACAGGAGGAAGCTATAGTAGAGGAGGAAGTTACAACGATACTGTAGCAGAGGAGGAAGCTGCAAAAGGAGGAATCTGCAACGATTTGGTGGAGAAATCTACAATGATTTATTAGAGAAATCTGCGGCGATTAGCTCTTAGTAAGAGCTGAGGATCGACAGTTGACAGCGAGACAACGGGCTGCGATTGATGCAGATCACAGCTTCAATGGCCGCGGAAAGAATAGAAAATAAGAAGAATTATTGAAGAAGTTATTTTATATTGAAGCTATTTTCCCCCTATTTATAAGGGAGAAGAGAGATTTCCTTACAAAATATTATTAGAGTATAGAAATTTACTCACATAGTTAGGAAAATCTTATCTGTTATCAGGAATCACGTGTGGATTTTGGGAAAGAATCACGATCATGGTTATAACTTACTCATGTCTTTATTCAGGTTGCTGGAAACACTCATCAAGTCTTAATTTATATAGGGATCAGAGAAATCTAGTATTAGTGCAGTCATAGAAATCCATGAGAGGGTAATGCCATGCAATGATAGGATGGATCTTCTACCTCCTATTGATTGGTGGACTCAAGATTATTTATTTGAGGTAGTGGAAGAAGGCATCACTGATTAGGTAGATGATTCCTTATATGATCTCCTCATAGCATCCAAGGAGAGAAACACGGATGGATTAGGGCTTTCTCCTATGAAGCCCGCTATAGGATCATCCATAGAGCCCCTTGCTTTATGAAGAGGCCACGTTCTTGACTAGAATCTTGATCATCTTAGAGATTGAATGAGCAACATGAGGTTTACAAAGAGTCATCGATCAACATGATTGTATTATTTAGTTTCTTAACCAATTTGATTCAACACACTAGTGTAATTGGATTGTGACAAAAAAAATTAAAGATTAAAATAGTCACCTAAAAATAAAGATATTTTTATTATTTTAAAATAATAAGAATTTTTTAATATTTTAAAAAGAAGAGATGTTATCCAAAAATGAAAAAAAATATATATTTGATAAGACCATGTATTTAAAGGTTAGCATATTTAATGACGACACTTAAATTTCGTTATACAGCTGTTGCCAGACCCATTCCTGCAACTTCCCGAGTTGATGGCAACGAACGCCATCAAACAGCGCGACAAAGATACAGCTATCCACGTTGAGCCCTTCAGTGTCAAAGATCTGTCACGTGTCACCGATGCTGGGCCACGTGACAAGGGAAGAGGGAGAAGGAGATGGAGTTGCGTACCAAACGGCGGCGCTGCTGCGCGCGTGAGTCGACTGGGCCCCACGCGGCTGCATCCCTCGGCCGTCGGATTGGAGTTCTTTGGCGATAAATACGAGGCCCAACCACTTCCCTCTCCGATCCGCTCGATCGAGAGTAGAGTCCGGAGAGAACAGGAAGGAGAGATGTTCATCGAGAAGTTCAAGGTGGAAAGCCCCAACGTGAGGTATGGGGAGGACGAGATCGAGTCGGTGTACCACTACGAGACCACCGAGCTGGTGCACGAGTGCCGCGACGGAGTCTACCAGTGGATCGTCAAGCCCAAGACCGTCCGTTACAACTTCAAGACCCGCACCCGCGTCCCCAAGCTCGGGTATCCTTTCCCCCTCCGACCCTGACTACCTGTTTCAATGCCCCTTCTTCTTCCCTTTTTTAATGGCTTCCCTTGATCTTGGACTAGTGTGATGCTTGTGGGATGGGGTGGCAACAATGGATCTACCCTGACAGCCGGTGTTATTGCCAACAGAGAGTAGGTTTTCTTCGAACTTCTCTGTCGTTTTTTCCCCTGGTGATGTTGATGCTTATGACTTATTTCTTTCTTAATCATATATAAAAATGATATTTTGATTTGGAAGTAGTGATTGTGTTGGGTAGGGGGATCTCATGGGTGACGAAGGACAAGGTGCAGCAGGCCAACTATTTTGGATCCCTGACCCAAGCCTCTACCATTAGGGTTGGATCTTTCAATGGGGAGGAGATCTATGCCCCCTTCAAGAGCTTGCTTCCCATGGTATAACCGATCTGTTTTGGTCCAACGTTCCACAAATTCTTTTCTTTTGTTTTTGTGAAAAGTATGATGTACACGTTGTAGTATGATGAATTGCTGCAGATCTTGTTGTTGAATGTGTTACTTTCTTATTCTTTGGGGGGGAATTTATATTTTTATTTCTGTGATCTATGCATGTTAATATGATATTGTGATTTAGTTTTTTTTTTTTTTTTGAGTTTATTAGGTTAATCCAGATGATATAGTGTTTGGAGGATGGGATATTAGCAACATGAACCTGGCAGATGCCATGGCTAGGGCCAAGGTCCTCGACATTGACCTGCAGAAGCAGCTCAGGCCCTACATGGAATCCATGGTCCCCTTGCCCGGGATCTTCGATCCTGACTTCGTTGCTGCTAACCAGGGCACCCGCTCAAACAATGCGATCAAAGGCACCAAGAAGGAGCAGGTCCAACAGATCATCAAGGACATAAGGTGCTAATTAACATTTATACTTCCTAGTTAATTTTTAACAAAAAATTTCTCTAGCATGTACAAAATATGTAGTTCATTAGATTGATGTATGCTTAATTCTGGTGGAAGAATAGAGAAGTTAATGTCAAAATATAGCTGTCGATTGGTTCATTATTGAATTTGTATCTGATAGGGAGTTTAAGGAGAAGACAGAGGTGGACAAGGTAATTGTGCTATGGACTGCTAACACAGAGAGGTACAGTGACGTGATCGTGGGTCTCAATGACACTATGGAGAATCTAATGGCTTCAGTCGAGAAGAATGAAGCTGAAATTTCTCCGTCCACGTTGTATGGAATAGCTTGTGTGCTGGAGAATGTCCCTTTCATCAATGGGAGCCCACAGAATACCTTCGTGCCAGGTGTTAGGCTTAAACTGGGATTGTTGGTTTAGTAGGTTCTGAGTTGAAAGGTGTAATGGCTTTGAGATACACATTTCATTCATTATATTGGTCGTGTGCAGGACTGATTGATCTGTCCATTCAGAGGAACAGTCTCATAGGGGGCGATGACTTTAAGAGTGGGCAGACAAAAATGAAGTCTGTCTTGGTAGATTTTCTGGTAGGAGCAGGAATTAAGGTATCTTAACGTTTGACAACTTGTTTTTCTTCATCACTTGTGCTGCTAATTCTCAGTGTTTATACAATTGAAATCCTAGTCAAGCTTCTATTTGATTTATGCATGAGAAACTGTTTTCATATTTTAATGGTTATTTTTTAGTGATAACTTATGTTCTAATCTAACAAATGCAATGCCTCACTTATTTCCTTCCTACTAGCCAACCTCTATTGTCAGCTACAACCATCTGGGCAACAATGATGGGCTGAACCTCTCTGCACCTCAAACTTTCCGATCAAAGGAGATCTCAAAGAGCAATGTTGTCGATGACATGGTCTCAAGTAATGGCATCCTCTATGAGCCCGGGGAGCACCCTGACCATGTTATTGTTATCAAGGTTTGTATAATTGTGGATTATATCCTTTTAATTGTTCGGACAAAGTATTTACATTCTACTATTCATTATTTGCTTTTGCTGCAGTATGTACCATATGTTGGTGACAGCAAGAGGGCTATGGACGAATACACATCAGAGATATTCATGGGGGGAAAGAGTACTATCGTTCTTCACAATACCTGTGAGGACTCCCTGTTGGCTGCACCTATCATATTGGACTTGGTATTGTTGGCTGAGCTCAGCACTAGGATTCAGCTTAAAGCTGAGGAAGAGGTAATTATAAGCAGCCTATTGATTTGTGTATTCTTCTGTAACCTCCTAACCGAACATGTTTTGCATTTTGGTTGATTATGTAGGACAAGTTCCACTCCTTCCATCCAGTGGCTACAATCCTAAGTTACCTCACCAAAGCTCCACTTGTAAGTGATTATATTGCCAATCTAATGTATGTTATCGTTATATACTTGTGATTGAGCATAGGTCCTCAGAGTTTAAGCCAAGTTATTGTGAATAGTCAATTGACGTTTAGTTCCCGGAGGAGAGGATAATCTGTGATTTGGTAGGGACGATAAGTGTGGGTAGATATAATATAGGATGGAATGGAATGTGATCATATACGGGTCCCTACAAGATTAGTGGTGACTTCTATGTGAAGTCAAACAGCATCAAACGAAGTTTAATATGCAAATTCGTGGTCCACAGGTCAGCGAAGCAACTTTGAACTGGTTTTCAACGTTCATAACATGTAATCTTGATGTAATCAACTTGTGTGCTTCAGTTTATTTGGTCCTTCCACCTGAAGATGTAATAATAGGATTCTTTCATTCAAGAACTAGTCTGGTTTTGACAATCGGTAGCAAGTACATATGTAATGCAGGTAGCTTCTGATGGTACCAAGGAATTTGTGTCCTGGCTTTGCTTACTTTTGTGGAGTCATGATTTATATTTATCCAATTCTTTTAGATGGACAAGTCTAGTTGTGTCATTATAGTGATAACAAGTACTAATCTCTCGGTTAATTCATTTGTATGGTTAAAACAGGTTCCTTCGGGCACACCAGTGGTGAATGCCCTCGCCAAGCAGAGGGCCATGCTGGAGAACATACTCAGGGCTTGCATTGGCTTATCTCCCGAGAACAACATGAATCTGGAGTACAAGTGACATCACGCAAAAGAAAAAACACGAGGGTGGATGTTGAGAGATGAGTTTCTTCAACTTGTTCCGTTCATGTTTATCCCTCTTCAACTTGTCGCCTCCTGTAGTTGAACCTAACTCCATGTTTCTCTCTTGACATTGTTCTGGTATTTCTTCTGATCGACTCTAGTTTATAATAATTGCTTTTTGTCCCCGTGTTCTTGATTTATTATATGTTTATATCTCATGCAAAGTTGATTTATAGGTTTTGTAGTGAGAAAATTTTGTCTGCTATGTTATTTCTGATATTATGATTGGAACCTTCCTTAATTTAAAGCAACATATCAATCCTTCGTCTTCTTTCTAATCACAATGGAGCTGATGGCCAGAAAACCTCGCCCATACATTTGGCTAGCTCAAGTGAAAAAATGATTTTGAATAGTATTTGAATTATTTATTTTTCTTGAAACCGAATTTGAGAGTGTTTGTCCTACTTTTGTATATCCTAAATCACGAAAATAATTCTGTCCTGGAATTTCTGTCTGTAGATCAATAATCTGAACCCAAATTTTCGAGGACGTTGACATAGCTTTCCTGCATGATTTTCTCAAACCTTGATGTGCATTAAGTCGGCGACAATGACTTAGCCTGACTGAGTTAATTGGTTTTATTAAAGGATTTTATAGAGGATTTATTGGTAAAAATTTTATTAAGGAGTCATTAAACATGCATTTGAGATTTTATAAATTATATGGTCTATAATATCTCTTCAGTTTTTTTATTGGAGAGCAACAAATTCGAAGGAAGATTTCGCAAGCTTATGATTATATTCAAGAAAAAAAAAATCAATCATGGGTAAGCTTTGAGTTTTTTAAAATTGTAATTAATATCAAAGTAGATGGACTATAGAATCTGCTTTGTGTGAAGAGTTTTTCAGTATCTAATCTTTTTCTTAGAATTAAAAACGTTGGTGGATTTTTTCAGACTAGATTTGTTCTTGATAGAATATTTTTAATATACTGGATTTTCTTTCATTTTTTTTATCATGAATATGATTCAAAAAGTTTTCGGATTGCTTGCTATTTCACCAATTAGAAGTACTAGTGGAAACTTGTTGTAAATATTAGATTTAATCTATTGTCATTAAATAAAGCAAAAGTGAAATGAATAAAAAAAATGGTAAAGAAAGGACCAGTGAAGTGATAAAAGAACTTGAAAAATGTAAATCGATTTTAAATAAATTTATAAAATCTTAATTCAGAGAATTTTTTGTATGAGGAGTTGGAAAGTAAATTATTGATGATATAATAGGATATGCTTGTTAATAAGATGATTTATGGAAGATATGTCATTATTAAATTGATATATAACTGGATAATTTTTTAAAATATATAAATTTATTATATAAAAGAAAAGAGCCTCTACGTAAAAAAAAAAAAAAAGATTCTGTAGCAGCAATTTGCTTAGGCCAAAGAGGAAAGCAAAGTGAGGTGACAAAAGAAAACAAAAAACGAAGGAAGAAAACAAGAAAAAAGGGGTGAATTTTTAGTTCATGCATATATGATGTATTAGGTTTATGTTATTACTCTTTATATAATTTCGGAATTTAGGAAAACGAGGGTGTCAGTTATTATGTTAGTTTTAAGGATTAGTGATCAAAGGTAAGCCTATGATAGTTTCGTCTTCTATTTTTGAAGATAATATTCTTAATATTAGTAAAAGTATATGATTTATTGGATGTTGCTGTCGCATAGTAGCCTCGAGAAATAAAATTTGTATTGTTTTTATCGTACTAGTCATAGCAAGCTGTGGTTGCAACTTCCTATAGCAAATAAAACTCTTCCCTTTTTTATAAATCTAATTTAAAAAAAAAAATCATTTAGTTATCAATTTAATAACAATTTGTTCGTCAAAATAATATGTTGAACAAACATTCATTAATCAAAGTGTCTCTTATTGTATTATCCAAGATTTAAATCCAAGAGACATATATGTCGTTCAAGTATAGTCTTATCTTTATTTTAATCCCATTTAAATCTTGATCTGATGAGCATTGCTATGGGACATATATATATATATATATATATATATATATATATATATCAAGCATTACGGAATGATTTATCAGCTTTCTATCTTTGTTTTATTTTTAATTTTATTTAGGTAAAGATGTGATGATTTTGATTAAGCATTACGAACCAACCATGAATTTAGTCTTTTGAGCTTGGGTTTCAGTTGGTCATATCGGAATAGAATCCAAGTACAGCTCAAACTAAAGTTGAATTAGAGTATGACTCGAATTGAATTTAATTTTACCTTCCATCATGTACCAACGTTGGGTACAAATACATTATGAAATTAAGTTTATACACTCTGATATAACTTCCATATGGATCTTGTAGGAAGGTAAAATATCCATTATATTAATTTGTTGGCAGTCAAAACGCCTTTGGATCATCACATTTGTAAGCAGTAGCACACAATGCTAATGAATGGGAATATCAAAAAATTAATGACTTGAAAACAATCAGTTCTGACCTATAAATTGCTGTACCCTCCTTTGACAACCTGTTGTAAACCATCCATAATTGCTCTGTATTCTCCATGAGAGCCAATTGTAGCTGCAGAGCCACACGCCCAGCCTCGATCACCCTTCCTTACATATTGATGTCGGAAGACTGCCTCAATCTCGCAATCTTATAAGCTTAAAAAGAAGCATCACATTACAGGAGCTACGACAACTGATTTGACATCACTTTCCTTCAGAATTGTAACATCCGATTAACCCTACTTTAAAATGGATAAGACTAAGAGTAAAATTTGATGAGTACATTATTATTAATCTCAACTCAGATATTTTAATTAGTGATTTGGTTTGGACGATATTGATGGGTCAATTAACCTATCAATCATGATATTTGATATTAGAGCCGACATAATGGTAAGGAAGCTTAGTAGTAAAAAACTATCCAAGTCCAAGAACTTATGCCTAATATGGAATCACCATTGGATTAGACAGGATTATTATGCCTAATATGTATTATTATGTCAGAATTTGATTTGTGATATATTGAATATTAATGAGAATGTCAAACTCTTGAATAAAAAAAATTGTAACATAGGCAAGACTAATATTAGCTTATGCGTGTAGTACTATCAACTTTAATTTAAATATTTTAATTTTTAATTTAGATTAAATAAAATTAATAAATTAATTAACCTATTAGACTTGATAAGTAGAGCTTTTTTGACCAGCAAAGGCTAAGGTGTTACACTTACCACCATAATGACATGATACAAACTTTGTAATTACAAAATGATCATCTTTTTATGGTGGTTCTGTAAAATTTAGCAATTAATTTCTGTCCATTCTGAGCCAAACTGTCAATAACTTTGGAAGAAGGGTCATTAAAAACTATGTGCTTTAAAATCAGTATCACAGTGATAATAGAATTGGTGAACCTAGCAACCGTATAAAATCTGCCCCACAAAAGTTTTTAAAGGTTGAATTGTTGGACCCATTTTTTATTTTCACATTATATCCAGCTAGCCCATTTGTGATTCACATAAGGCTCTCAATTTTATGCAAACTCAATACTTAAAAAGGAAGGGAGACTAATGCCTACTAAAGAATATACCATACAAACTCATGTCCTATTGTGACATCGTTAGCTACGATTACCTAAGATATATAATACGTAAGCGACACATACTTACCAGGGTAAACTTACACTTTGATCTCGTATAGTCCAGTAAGATCTATATAATAAAAAAAAATTAAAAAGATAATTATATTAGTAAATATAATTATTACATATGAAGACAAGAAAACTAGGATATCAAGCAAGCAATAGGAAAAGACTATATATATTATATTAGATAGTAAAGACATACAAGCAAGTTAAGCTATTATCCATGAAGGGCTCTAGCAAATGTAAATTAATGATCCTTAGCACTTTTGTCAAAGCGGGCTCGCTAAAGAGGTCGTCTCATCTCTCAAATATATAATTGAGGCCCCATCCAATCTAGTGTCATAAAGTGTGTTCTAGTGTATTGAGATGATTGATATTTGCTACATCGATTAAAAACACAATCATAAAATAAAAAAATAAGATAATTTCAGTTATTTTCAATTCTATATGATAATCACTGAACCTATCATTCTGGAGAAGATTAAAAGCAGAAAACCAATGTGAATATGCTGCAAAGCTAATTAAAAGTGAGGCTACCGATTAGGTCATTGGACACCCTTATGTAGTGCTCAAGTTCTCTCATACTTAGCATGCTAATTGAAGAATAAATAATATGTATATATTATCATTATTTAAAGATATATTTTATGATATTTATGCTTCGAAAACATGATATATGACATACTCATGTTATCAGTTTTTAAAATTAAATATATGCTTTCAAAAATACTAAGCACAAGGTTCTTCCAAATGCTATTTAAAGTATTTATAAACATTAATGTCTATTTTGAGTATATTTTGTGGCGAAAAGTATAATCCTCTAGCATAATAAGTTTAAGTATGCTAGCAGACTTGAGTATGAGGTTATGATAATAAGCATGTGCATAGTGATTAAAATCGACTTTCGCAAAACTTGAATGAGTATTTAAAATTAGTAAGCTTGAGGTTTAAACATCATATATATATATAAAATAATAAATTGATTTATTTATGTATGGTTGGAGTTATAGATAATTAAGTGAAGATGAAAATTAAAGAGTATTATACTAAAAATGTTAAGATAGATAATTGAGATTAAATGATAAATTTAGACAAGACTCATTATTTTTGTCAATCCAAATTAGACTTAAACTAAGTTATAGCAACCTTAAAATTATGCTATGAAAAAACTTTTACAATGGCCTAATGGGCCCAAGGGAGTTAAACATTTTTTTTTCACCTCCTCTCTATTTTGTTATCATTCACCCCATTAAATAAGATAAAGCGTGACCCCTTTTTCTCTCATTTTTCATCTATTGTCTTGTTATTTTTTAACTCTTTCTTTGTTGAAGCTCAAGGACTCCGATTCTAAGAAAGATTAAGGTAAGAATACATAACCTTCCCTTAGCTATACCTAGGGTTTCAATGTACATCTTACAAGCTGGTAGTTTCATATACTTTTGAGTAACCTAGGCTTTGAACTAACCTCTAATTTTTGGGCATGCTGTTATGATTATGTTATAATTCTAAGACTTCTCGAATGATTTTAACATAATTT